CAGTAAGAAAATCACTACATTCCCACACATCCTCAACCCAAGACATTGCTCGGGAAGCACACATTACACTTAAAATTAGGTATAATTATCTAGGATGATCAATTTTTCTTGTCTATATTTCAGTGTTTCACTGAACAAAATTTCCAGTACAGAAACTGTAATTAAAAGTTTAAAAACACTGCACAGTTTTCTTTTCATAAATAAAATATAGATTCATCAATTAAAGTTATTAAATATATTCAGTCAAGATCAATGAATGGTTTTCTTTTGTTCTTTGATTAACATTAATGACAGGCAGCGCGTTTATTAGGCTGCTCTCTCTTTAACACCGAACGCACGCAGATCTAAAAATACTGCACATGTGTGTTTTCTTTCTCATCTGTTTACGTTCACGTAAGACAAAAACGGCTTTATGTGTTTATGATGATATACTGACGTAGTTTTCTGCATATTGGTCGACAAATATGAAAGAAGTCAGTTTCGGCCCGGAACAACCTTTTCTACAGTGGAAATACACGGAACGGTTCGAGAACGGATACAAACCGGGAACCCGTACCACGACCTCTGTTCTCTGTGCTCGCGCTTCGTGTGCGCTGCACGCAAACAGGGCGCAAGTTCTTTCCGTTCCTGCACTTAAATCGTTTTTAATCACATTAAAATGCGAACGCAGGAATCGTTAAGCAGAATCGAAATGCACGCGTCTTATCGAATACCCGGTTCTTGGAAATTTGGAACCGGTTCTACAATGGAACCGGTTTTCGATACCCAACCCTACCTCCAAGTGAACCCAAGGACACAAGATCAACCACAAATCAGATCATGCATCGTTTTTAACTAGTAGACACTGAAATATCATAATGAGGTGAAGTGAATTATCAAATTGAGTCAGTTTCAGGAAGCAACCACAACACTATAATGATCTTGAGCATTTCCTAACCATGTTTCCAGTGATAAGTAATTTGTCTGTCCACACTGAATGTGAAACTGCTGCATGATGATTTTGCCGTGATGCTGAAACAAAGATAGAAACCAAGTAACCAACAAAATGTCCTATCACAACTGGTTAGGACAAAACTGCTCATTTACTGTTTAAAGTTCGGGGTCAGTAAGATTTTTTGTCTTGTGTTTACCAAGGCATTTATTTGACCAAAAATACAGTAAAAAGAGTAATGTTGTGAAATATTATCACAATTTAAAATAACTGTTTTCTAGTTTAATATATTTTAAAATGGAATTTATTCCTATGATGCAAAGCTACATTTTCAGCATCATTACTCCAGTCTTCAGTGTCACATGATTCTTCAGAAATCATTCTGATATGCTGATTTTGTAAATTTCTTATTATAAATTGTTGAAAATAGTTGTTCTGCTTAATTTTTTTGTGGAAACAGTGATTTTTCAGTTTTTTCAGGATTCTATGATGAATACAAAGGTTTTTTGTAACATTATAAATGTCTTTACTGTCACTTTTCATCTATTTAATACATCCTTGATTAATAAAATTATTTTCTATACAAAAAAAATAAAATACTGACCCCAAACTTTTAAATGGTGGTGTTTGTGGCTAAAGCATATTTATATTCAGCCAATTGTGCGCACACACACACACACACACACACAGTCTTTTATAGTTTTATATATATATACCCCCGGTTTCACAGACGAGGCTTAAGCCTAGTCCCAGACTAAAATGTAAGTCTGAGCTGTGTCAACTGAAAGAAACTTGCACTGACTGATCTTAAAACATATCAGTGCCTTTGTTTTGGCTCAAGATGCACACCAGTAATGTGTTTTCTAAGGCACGTTTATGAAAAATTACTTAAATATCCTAATTGAACTATGGCCTAATCCTGGCTTAGTCTAAGCCCTGTCTGAAACCAGGCCATAGTCTTATATATTAAAACCATGACATCACTGCCACTTTATGAAATCTGTATTACCATATTTGTCCATCCCAAGGGTTTTTAATATGCATAGCATTTTCACATCACTCATTTTTATTAGAATAACTGTATATATTTTATTAGAGGATATGACAACTTGTCTTATTTTATATATTTAATTTTGCATTCCAGACATGATTGGAAAGGGAAACGATATAAACACTATTCTTTTTGAAAGGAAGCTATTTATTTTGTACAAAAATATGGGTCATGCTTGATAGTAGCTTACTCTTGAATTCAATACGGTGTGAAGTATTCTGACACATTCTTGTTAAAATTACTGAAAATATCTGTTGCTAAAGATTCATGATGCTTTTGTTATGCATGAACACTTCAAGCAATGACATGTATTTGACAAAACATGAAATGTTATCATATGCAGATGTTAATATGAGTATTTTAGGTTCTGTTTAAGCTGTCAGTCATACTGGAAGTGTCATATTGCCAAACAGTCTTACACACAACAGTATTTCAACTTTATATCAACCACAAACACAATTTAAGGAGTGTCGTGCAACCATTTTTACAATAAAGAATGTAAATTGCAAAAACTGTTTTTCTTGATTGAAACACTGAACTTTTAATATCGTTAATGCCAGAATACAATCCATTTTCAAGTATAATCAACTGAGACAACAAAAGAGAGCGACTTTTAGTCTCCCCAAAAATGAAAATTTGCTGAACATGTACTCACCCTTGGGCCATCAAAGATGTAGATGATGTTTCTTCATCAGAACAGTTTGGAGAAATTTAGCATTACATCACTTGCTCACCAATGGATGCTCTGCAGTGAATGGTTGCCGTCAGAATGAGAGTCCAAACAGCTGCTAAAAACATCACAATAATCCACAAGTAATCCACACCACTCCAGTCCTTCAATTAACATCTTGTAAAGTGAAAAGCTGTGTGTTTGTAAGAAACAAATCCACCATCAAGATGTTTTTAACTTAGCGTTGCATCCACTGGTGATCAAGTGATGTAATGCTAAATTTCTCCAAATCTGTTTCCGATGACGAAACAAACTCATCTACATCTTGGATATCCTGAGGTTGAGTAAATTTCAAACTACTTTTTTTAATTTTTTGGTGAACTCTTCCTTTAATCGTTCACCCTCTGGATTAAAACATCTTCAAAGAACATGAAATGCCAGTCTGCCAGCTCACCAGGACATAAAATCACTGGTCTGTGCTCATTCCAAATAGCAACAGACTTGAAAGGGTTATATATTTCTTTAATAGGCACAGAAATGGCCTGGCGTGAGTCCAATGCTCTCCCAGAGTTCCAGTTGGCAGTATGTGTTCTCTCACTCGCCCTCTTTCCCCAACACCTGGATGTTGGCCTTTCTCTTTCTGTCACCTGGAAGTTTGAGTGTCTTTGGAGTGACAGTTTGCACCTCTTCCTCTGAACATGATGATAATGATGATGATGACGACGACGACAACAACTCATCTTCTTCGCTGCTGTCTGAATCCTCCAGTTCAACCAGAGCCACGGCCTGCGGCGTAAACACATCCGGTTATTATGTAAAAAATTAAAGATTTTTATAATTAGACACGTTAGGATGAACGACAGCTGGTGGTGAGAGCAGACGCACCATCTCAATGACTTTCTCTGCATCCTCCACACTCTCAATGTCAAAGAAACCAGCAGGAGCCTCGTCCATCTGTTGTCTTAGTGACTCATTGGCATGGGCGATTTGAGGAAGGAAACTTTGCAGCCTGTCCAAGACTAGCACACAGAATATGCATTATAGCAAATATGCATTAAAGATAACCCATTATAATTATAGCATATGACCTACAAATACATCTGATGACATGAACATACTCACCACTACTTCTGGGGACCCTTGCTGTCTGCAGTGAAGCACTTTTAGAGTTCAATAGAAGTTTCTCATGGATTCCTGGAGACATCAAAGTTAACGATTCATTTATGATTAGGTGTTCCCAACATATATGTATTTGGTTATTATGCAAATAAGAAGTGACAACAAAGCACAGATGTGGTTTTATTTTAAGATTTCTACATTATGATTTGAGAGGAGTTCTTCTCAACTGATCAAATGTTAATTTAGAAACAAACTACTTATTTTTATTTTAAGTTTATTTAGTTATTATAGTTGTTTAGTTTAATTTAGGTTTATAGGTTAATTGACTTATAGTTGGTTTTCTAAAATGAAATGGTATTACCACCACTAACAACAGGGATAGGCAACTAAGTTAGGTCCTGGAGTACCGCTGTCCTGCAACCCTTATCAAACACCTGAAACAAGCTAATCAAGGTCTTCAGGATTACTAAAGACACAGGCAGGTGAGTTTTTTTTCTTCAGGGTTGGAGCTAAACTCTGCAGGACATCGGCACTCCAGGACCGACGTTGCCTATCCCTGCGATACAAGAAAGTTTCTGAATTGATCTGTTAGAGAGACGAGATTCTCTCCGTAAACTTAAGTGTCTGCTGGTTAATTCTCTGAGTCTTTTTTTTTTTTCAAAGAACGTCTCACCTTTTCCGTTGCCACAGGTCAGCAAGTCTCTAGAAGAGGCTTTCTTGATATTGTTTTGTGTTTGAGCCATGTTTAGTTCCTCACATGTACAAAATAAATTAACTTGTGTCCACATGTGTTTTTACACAACATAATAACTTCCGTGTTGTTGGGTCGAGCCACTGTTGGCGCCCTCTAGAGTTTTGGATGTACGTGCTGGGCGACAAAAGAACAGTGCTGTGGAAGTTACAAACATAAGCAGTGTTTTCTCCTGCGTTCTACTGTACAGAGTACAGACGTGAATTTACTTTTCCTTCAGCCTGAGGTTTATTCATTACACTTTTTGGTGTGAAAGGGCTTTTATATTTGCTATAAATAGAACTTCTTATATTAATAACAATCAAGCCCTGTTCATATTTAAAAAGTAACGCGAAAGTAACGCAAAAAGTAATATAAAGCATTACTTTCCATAAAAAGTAACTAAGTAACGTAATTAGTTATTTTTGTAGGGAGTAACGCAATATTGTAATGCATTACTTTTAAAAGTAACTTTCCCCAACACTGAACATAACATAACATAACATATAACATAGCATAACAACAACATGGCATGGCATAGTATAGCATAACATAACAGCATTGCATAAAACCAAACATTTTAGTGTAGAACCTCCAATAACTAAAACTATAAAATGAATAAAATCTTTATTAATAGCATTCTCTGAGATTAAAACCACAGAAGTTTTAAATAGCCTGATTATTTTGTTTCATTTGTTTCGTTATTTTCTTATTTCTTCTAGGGTAGTTTTTTTTTTTTTATTATTATTGTAAAAATGCTAAGAATCTTTTCTTACATAGCGTTTGATTAGCTGACATTAACTTTTTTGTTTGTTTGTTTTTTGTCATACCTGACATAGTTTACTTTTTTTTTTGTCATACCTGACAAAAATTGACCTCGTAGAAATGTAGGTTGTCATGCTTGTTTGACGACATTCTTGTTTGACAATATTGGACAAGGATGAAATAATATATATTTTTTTTTTAATTAAAAAACATTAAAGAATAGCACAAAAAAATCAAGGCATATTAAAAAAAATATGTGTTTCAATTTAAGTTTTATGTGCTTCGATGTGAGCTCACGAGCCTTTTATTTTGAAATGCCGCTGCTGCCGCAGTGGGCAGTGATGACGCGCCGCCGCTGTCATAGAGCTCCAGTCCAGCGATCAGGGAAGAAGAAGCTGAAACTCGTCTCGACGGAACTAAAATATCACGGTACATACATTCCTTTATTATCTTTTCACCCTCCAGAGAAATTGAGAACAGCTGCCACACATTAAATAACGCGCTGCTTTCATTTGACAGTTGAAATGATTAATTATTAATGTTTACCATCAGGCAGATGGAGAATATTTTAGGATGTTTTGGGGTGATTCCAATGCACAAGTCACCTACAAAAAGGTTTAGACATATAATTGAGTATTTCTGATAACCACAAGCCATATAAACTTAACAAATCTGGCATATTTTCTTAGTTTGTCCAGCTGGAAATGCAACCTGTCCTCTCCCTGCCACTACATCACATCATGTATACTATATTCTTATATCTCAAATAGTATCCGTCAAATGTATGTTTTGTTAATTACAGGCATAATAATCTGTTGTTCTTCGTTTGTTTATTTCCTTTAGGTTTTCTAAGTTCTGAGAACTAGCATTGTTTGTTTACAAACATTTTCCATGTAATGTGTTGTTTATTGTTTTGCCTGCGTGATAATATTGAAATACACTATTACATGTTTTACTATTACATATACAATATATATGTTTTATTTATTACTTTTATGTCAAATGTTTGATGGTTAACTTGAAAAAACATTTCATACAATAATCGGTCTCCATCAGACAATTAATTTGTGTGTTTTCTTTTTCCAATACACCTCTAATAATTAATGGAAGCTTGTTTCTGCTATGGGATAAAAAAATTAATGTAATTGCAACTTTTTATCTCACAATTCTGACTTTTTTTTCACAATTGTGAGATATAAACTCGGAATTGTAAGAAAGTAAGTCAGAATTCTAAGTTAATTGCAAATTTTTATTTCATTTATGCAATTGTCATTTGAAAAATTGCAGTTGCCTTTTTTTATTTTTTCATCCCATGGTGGAAATAAGTTTCCATCAATATTAATACTGAAGGGGTTCAGAAGTTAGTTCGAATATGGTGTACTTAGAAATTGATGTTTAAGTAAATAAGGTTTAGACTGTGTACTAAACACTATGACTGCCAATTCAGCATCTAGACCAAATAACTGCTGCTGACAGACTAAAAGAGAGCATATAATGAGAGTGTGACCTTGAATGCGACACTTTTGTTGATTAATTTCCCTCTGTACTTCTCTTTATCAGGTCACTGCGATACTGTCAGCGCTCTGTCATAGCTGTTATGGATGCCACCTTCTGGTTCTGCTGATCTGCTGCTCTTCTCAAAGTCCGGCTGGCCATGAGCCCAACCAGTTCGCATCTGCAGTATGAGCCTCCGAACCATAGGGGGCGCTGTGCTCAGCTCCCTGGGCCCTAGTCTGGCAGCTCAGGCTGGAGGAGCCTGGAGCTCCATCTCTTTTAGACCCATACCCTCCTTGCTTCAGACCATGGTACCTGCTGGTTACACCGCACTACAGGAGGAACGGCTGGCCATGGTGGACCTCGGCATGCCTAAGCCTGATTCCCTCAAGAATGGGTTCCAACGCGAGCCCCGCCGCCACTCAGACCGCAGCAGCAGAACATCCATCAGCCTGTCTGATGCCGGAGACGGACACTATGTGGAGACTGAGCCTATGCTGCCTGATGGCAGGCTTTCAGGAGAAGAGGCAGATGAGGAAGAGGAGAGCGAGGAGGAAGGGCAGCAGCAGGCAACTAGAAATATGCCCAAAGAGTCGCCCCTTGCCATGGCATTGCAGATACTGGTGCCCTTCCTGCTAGCTGGGTTCGGGACGGTTTCGGCTGGAGTGGTACTGGATATAGTACAGGTGAGATTTTCGAAACCTTACAGGGAGCATTTTCTCATCTTTACGTTGTTCCAAACCTGTTTGACTTTCTTTCTTTTGCGGAACTCGAAAGAAGGTATTTTGAAGATGTTTTTGTCCATATAATGAAAGTCAATGGGGTCCAAAATCACACTGGACCACAGTGACTTTCATTTTATAAACAAAAAATACTGAAGCAATTTTCAATATATCATATTTCGTGTTTCATAAAAGGGATGGACTGACCCTTTAAGTATTAAACTTTGACGTGATTGGACTTAAAATTTTAGCCTGGCAGATAATAAAACTGGATAAAAAAAATAAAAAACAGTCCAGTGGTTCTCAACCTTTTTGACTTCAATATTTGAGGATAACATTTGAAGGCTCTCCTATCTAAACTGATATGTACCTCTGGTACTTCTGTTGTCATAAAAATAAATAAATAAAAAATTCTATGTCAGTTTAATGTTGATCTTTTTTTTATTTTTGTAATTATTTTTAATAAAAAATATCTTTATCTATTTATTTATTTTTCCATTATAAGTAAGATTGTGTTAAAATGTTATGTTAACAATATAAATAATTTAAGATTTTTTGGGGCCCCACTGGAAGTTTGTTGAGGCCCCCTAATGGGTCCTGGTCCACTGGTTGAGAACCACCCTATAGACCTAATGGAAATCTCTCTTCTCTTTTTTTTCAGCATTGGGAAGCATTTAAAAACATTACGGAGATCTTCATCCTGGTTCCGGCTCTTTTGGGTTTGAAAGGAAACCTAGAGATGACCCTCGCTTCCAGACTTTCCACAGCGGTTAGTATCCTAACTAACTAACAGCTGTTTGCACATAATTGCATCTTGCTTTAGTTTACATTGGGCGTGCCTGTAATTTGATTAGAAGTGACTTTCAGCTCTTATTAGAAGTGCTCCTTTGACGCTAAAGTGCTTCATGATGAGATCTTGGCCCGCTTTGGGCATGCTCTCACCTGTCAGGACCTGACGATTCATGCTAGTGCCCATCTTCATAGACTAGGGCTGGTAGTAAAAAGCATATGTCAGTGATAGAATGACTAGCTAGTCTGTTATTATGGTTATGACTCCATAGGTATTTCCAACCCCCATATGTCTGAGTAAGAAACACACACATAGGTTTTCAAGACATGTAATCAGCATCTTTACTATCTTAATAATTGTGCCTGGTCTTACTGTGCACATTATTTTTATTTTAAAGAATGAAAAAGAATGTATTATAATAATATAATGTATTATAATCTTTTATCAAAGTGTAATAACTTCTTCCACTTCAGAAACATATTTTCTGCTGATGTAACCAGTAATATCATAACAGCTCATCAACCACAGTGACAGAACATTTTGTCAGCCATATATACACTTTCATTACACACACACACACACACATATATATATAACTGCATAAGGCATGAGACAAACAAACATGGTCGTGTTATTGACTTAAGCTGATAAATAAACCAAATACTAAACAGCCCTGCTGGTGGAATATAAAATGAGCTAAAGTGGTTGGAATACAGAGCTGGTTTCAGTGGCCAGGCTATGGCAGTGCTAATGTATTTGGGGATTGTGGACTCCTCCAGTGTGTGCGGCTGTTAATTAAATCTATTCTAGGTCACAAGATAAATGGCTCTGACACAAACGTGTTGGCCCCACACCAGCAGCAAAAAAATAAAAATATATAAATATATATATAATAATAATAATAGCGCTTTCCGCCATTCTGCTACAAGCTTTGATGGATTTAAATGAAAAGAGTCATTAATAAAGTTGAGCGGTTTGAGGGTAAAAGCATACTATTAATAACAGTTCTTCATGACTGCGAGGAATATTGTACATAATAAAACAAGCCCTAACTGAGTGGACTTGCATTATCTTTGTGTAATATTAAAATTTGTTTGATGATCTGAATCTTTTAAGTGTGACAAATATGCAAAAAATGTAAAAAACAGGAAGGGGGCCAACACTTTTTCACACCACTGTATATATATATATATATATATAATATGCACTTTCATTACCATTTTTGTGCCAATGTCTTATATACTGTAGATAGTACTATGTATATGTGTGTCAATAATAAAAAGAATAAATACATAAAAATTATAAATATAATATAAATTTATAAATATAATTTAAGTACAAACTGTGTGTGTGTGTGAATTATATATATATATATATATATATATATACATTTTTTTTTTAAATAATTATGGCACCATTTTTGCGGTAACATGAATTTTTGGGGGCATTTGTCACTTTCAGTGGGATTTTTGCAATAAGCAACATCAGCACCTTAATTCTGACCCTTGTGAAAATGTGTTCCAAATGCTGTTTCATGTTGACTTTAAAAACGTATTGTGCATTTAAATTTCTGTAGTTTACTCGGACTCGGGTGTGTTTATATGTGTGCATAGACAAGTGTAGTTTACATAAGCTAGTTTAGTAACAGATTCTGTCCCACTCTCCTCTCCTGCCCTTTCCTCTGGGCGCTGGAGTCTCTGCTGACAGAGTGATTACATTTTTTTGGTAGCTAGTGTTTTTTTTTCTTCAGTCCGGGACTTTAGAGCTCAGAGGGGTTTCAGCTCATGCCATTTAGCGTCTAGTGTTCTCATGGCAAATCTGCCGTCCCCCCTCGAGGTGAATGAATAAACAAACCCTGGCGATGTGGGCCGAGCAGAGGAGAGGGGCGAAAGTACAGGCCTTCTGTTCACCCTCATGCAGCTGGGGGAAAAAAAGAAAAACACACACTGAGTTTATTGCCCTCAGACGGCTCTCTCCTACATGCTGCTCTTTCACATTTACATTGTTTTAGCTTTTAGGTCAAAAATCAAAAGATTAAAAGAACACATTATATTTTTTATAATATTTTAAGCCTCTTTTTAGGGCCATTTATATTTTCTGTATTGTTATGCTTTTTTCTTCTCCTTTTTTTAAAATATAAATTAAATTATTTATATAAATTAATGTAATTAATTACATTAAATTCAGTACATATAATATTACAATGATGTATAAATCTGTTACAATTTAAATGTTTATTAATGGTCATAAAGTTACTTTTATTTTGGGGTGAACATGTTTGAAATATTTATCATTTATCAATGCTTTGTCAACTTTTTACCTTTGCTTTCCAGTTAGGAAGTGCTAGAAAATGTTCATTAAACATATGTCACATTTTAGTGACCACAGTACAGGTGACTGAATGCAATAGTGACCTGTTCATCAATTTTGTTGTCTTTAGGTGAATGTGGGGAAAATGGACTCACCCATAGAAAAGTGGAATCTTATTATTGGGAATTTGGCGCTGAAACAGGTAAGGACACTCGCACGGTTATTTTGCATCAGGGTTTTTACCTGGAAAAGGAACAGAGACCTTATCAAGATGACGGGTTTCCATATTTGCATGGACACTAATAAAACAAAGACAAAGTGAAGTGTCTATATAAAGTGTATAAATAAGAAGTAATTAACCCCTTAAGCACTGGGGTTATTTAAGGGGTTTCCGCCTGGATTTAGCATACCCAAATGTAAATGTTTACCCTACACACATACAATGGAGGAAATGGAAAAAATTGTGTCATTGTATAGACTAACCCCTTGAAATACAAAATCAGATTGTAATTCTTCACAAATAACATTATATATGTTTCAAATATTACAATAAAGACAAAATTAAAAAATAATATTATTTAATATAATGTATAAATAGAATATTTAAATATTTATTTATATATAACTTATATTTTTATATAATATTTCTCATATTTGTTTGTTTATTTTATCTTTAAAATAATAGAAGAAAAAAAAAATTCTGTTCATATATTTAATAAAATAAAATTTACATATTTAAATAAATGAAACCTATTGTTACCTCTGCCTGTCTCTCTTTCTCAGGTGCAGGCCACAGTAATAGGGTTCCTGGCAGCAGTAGCGGCAGTTGTACTGGGTTGGATTCCTGAGGGAAAGTTCCAGATCAGTCACGCCGTGTTGCTGTGTTCCAGTAGTGTTGCTACAGCCTTCATAGCATCTCTGCTGCAGGGTCTGTACTACAGATTAACCTCTAATGCTCTTATATGTAGCTACTAAAGTGGCTCTTTTCACAACAAATAATGGCCACCTTGTTATATCGCAATCCGATATTAGTCATGTTTGTTATTAGTAACATTTCACATTATGAATGTCCAGTTCCGAGTGAGTAGGGTAAACACTGTCTCATGCGTGTCCTCTTTCAGGTTTTATAATGGTGGGAGTGATTGTGGGCTCTAAGAAGACAGGCATCAACCCTGATAATGTAGCTACGCCCATCGCCGCCAGTTTTGGTGACCTCATCACACTGGCCATCCTGGCATGGATCAGCCAGGGCCTCTACAACTGCCTAGGTGAGAAAGATGTGTGTGGGTGAAAAGGGCTCTGTTCTAAACCCTAGTGAGCTGCCTACCTAGATGGCATTTTTAGGCATCATAGGCACATTCGATTTAAAAGTATGCACCTAAAAAGTACATATGGACAATGTTTCACAACCTCAAATGAGTCACGTTCGCCAGCTATGTAGAGAGCAGACAGCGAGGCAGCTCACTAGGAATTGCAACAGAGCCAGAAAGAGATTTATTTTTTTGCCCCGAATAGATAGTAGGTCAGTTTGATAAATTAGTAGTACTGTAGTTTCTCTCAGATCAGACATGCTTTCAGTTTTCTACCACAAGAGGGCGCAAGAATCCATCACTTTAGACTCCAGCCTTGAGTGAATTACATTTTGATACATTTGTCATAAAGCTGTCTAAAGAATTTCGATCATATTTCAGTCTTTATCTGTCATATTGGAGTGTGATCAGTTAAATATCTTAAACGTAGTGGCACATTTCACACTCTCACACTCTATTGCAGGTGTCAGCAGATGTGAGGTGTGTAAGTTATAGTTTATGGGGCAGTGGGGTTGATATGTTTTATGGGTAGGGTCACGCTGCTAATGAGTCTGGCTCAGGACAATGAGAGTGTTGTGACACAGTGCATGACCTCGCTGGGTCTACGTATCCACATTCTCATGAAATACACACACACAGGGCTCACTATCTCTCTCCCTCTCTCTCTCTCCATGTGT